GAGGGAGAACAGAGCTTGTTGGGGGGGGCGCCTGCTCCCTAGAGTGGGTCTTGCCCAGCGGCCCCCACCAGGGTCCTCTGCTGCTCTCCCCCCCCCCGGTCTGGCCCTGAGCGAGAGGCCCCAGCATCCTTCACAGTTAAGAGGGAAGCAGGGGGAGGTGCTGCCTGCCTGGCCCCCAGCCCCCCAAAATGACCAGGAGCCTTCTGTCTGCTACAGGGCCCCCGACCCCTCCCTCTCTGCCCAGCCGAGGGGCTCTCTGAGGTGCGGGGTGCTCTTGCCAGCGGGCAGCCTGCCTGCCAGCCTGCCTGCCTGCCAGCCGCTTCCCTCGCCCTTGAGGGGGGGTTGCCTCAGCACCTGCCCCACTGCCTCCCAGAGCACCATGGACATGCAGGGAAGAACATTATATTCCTGTCCGTGACATTGAAAGTGTTTTGCAAGACAATTGCTTTTGAACAATTTAGGCCTTTCTCTCAGGTGCACCACACATAAGTGTGTGTAAGGGCCTCAGCACCTGCCCCACTGCCTCCCAGACCACCATGGACATGCAGGGAAGACGGGAGTGGCGGGGGGGGAAGGCTGTGTGTGTGTCTCGCCCCCCCGCCCAAGAGGAGGCAGAGGTGGGGGAGCTGCTGAGGCCCAGAGTCGGTTCCTCTCAGGGGGGGGATCTCTACCCATCTCCCCATTAGCACCAAGGGCGGAGGACCCCCGTGGGGGAGCAGTCCCTGGAGGGTGTCCTCTGCACACGGAGGAGTGAGCGAGCGCGCCCGCGCCCAGGGTGGTCCCTCCTGCCGCCTCACGCACCAGGGGCTGGCCCCACGCCAGCCGGTCATCCGCCGGCCCAGAGAGTAAAGTGCACGCATTGCCAAGGTCTCTACCCCCCCCACCCCCAAGACTGCTTCCTGGGAAAACACCCGCTGCCTCAGACCTTGCACGAGGGAACCAACGTGACCACTCCTCGTGCGAGGCACCCATCCTGATTCTTGCCCCCACCTTTCCCTTGAGGGGGCCTGTCCGGCAGAGGAGCTGAGCACCGCCGGGACCTGATCAAGCCAAACAGGAATTCTACAATTCACACCCGCCGCACGCTGGGGCGAGAAGGGGCTTGCCTTTCCCACTCACCCCCAGCCACATGAGATTATGGGAGAAGGGAGTGGGGGTGCTACTGCGGGCGGTGGGGGGGGAGTCTCTCCTCTCCATCCGCCCCCCCTGCCCCTCCACCCCGGGTCTCTCTCTCTCCTGTAGCCGAGAGTCCGTCTCATCCGAGGGGCCGGGCGCCGGAGAGCCCACCCGGAAGGACACTGAACCCCAGAGGGGTTCGCAGGCGGGCCCCCACGACTGGGTGCTGCTGGGCTGGGGTGTCCTCCGCCAGCCAGCCTGGGAGCCGGGTGGGGTGGGGTGGGGACAGGTGGGAGCCTGAGGGGAGCCTCCAGGAAGCACCAAGGGCAGGAAAGCCCCACCGGTGTTGGGGTCAGGGTCAGCTGCCAGCCCTGGGCCAGAGGAAGGGTCGCCCTGGAGGGAAGGAAAGCATTATTGCAGGGCACCCCGGGCGGAGGAGAGCGCCTGTCCCTCTAGGAAGCATCTCCCCCCCCCTTTTGCAGGCTGGCACACAAAGCACCACAGAAGCTGCCCTCGGGGACGCCCCCCCTTTCTGTTGTAGAAGCACCATTGTGAAAGTCAGTTGTACAGTAGTAACAGTACCTTTTATATATAGACATATCTTTCTCTCACACATATATAAACTGTAAACAAGAGGTCAGAGCGGCTGTAGGAGGTGGGCTTTTATCACGGTCTCCTGTGTAGTAGAGGCACCCAAATACTACAGAAAAATGTGTGGCTTGTGGGGGGGGCAGGAAGGGGCGGGCAGGGCCTGTGCAATCCCAGGCTACGTGCCCTCGCAGAGCGGGGCTGGTAGGCGCGAGGAGGCCCCATCACAAACCCCCTCCCGCCGGGGTTGTGCTCCTAAACTGAGCAGGGGCAAAGCCGCCCCGAGGCTCGCTCAGCTTGGGCCTGGCTGGAGCTCTCTCTGTGGTGGTGGGGCTGGCGGGAAGCCCCCCCCCTTTGCTGGGGCTCAGTCGAGGAGAGGCAGAAACCAAACTAACCAACAACCCCATCCAGAAAGAGCAGGGAATTAAAAAGTTACCAACAGAAAGTGGGAGTGGATGGTTCAATTGGGGGGCGGTCGACTGGGGAGAGGAGGGGTGAAGAAGGCCTGCGTGGCTGGAGCCAGGCACCCACGCGGGGGGCTTGTCCTCGCTCGCTCGCTCGCTCGCCCTCCCACCCTCCTTCCCTCCCTCTCACCCACCAGCCACCTCCTCCGTTCTGGTGCCACTTTGCTTCTGTTCCGGGGGGGTGGTTGTGTTTGAGATTCTTCCTCCTCCTCCTCTACTTTGCCAGTTCTGGGAGGGCGTCTCCTTAAACGCAGGCAAAGTACTCCTTCAGCGGGGCAAAGAGGTGGCGGATCACCGGCACACTCCAGGAGCGACCCAGCAGTCTCTGCCTCGCCAGGCGGCTCATGTTGGACACGTCTGTATAATGAACCGGGAAGCCAAACACCCTGTGGGCACAGAAGGGGGAGGGAGGGGGAGGGCCCGTCAGCCTAACACTGGCTCTCGCCCGTTGTCGTGGTCTTGGGGGCCACGTGAGCAGATGACTCACTAAGGGACACATGCTGACTGTGGCCTCGCTCACGCACCGCGGCTGGGAGGGGGCAAAGCTGGGGTGCAGGAGCCCAACCCAGCAGGGACTGAGCAGGAGGCCACACGAGAGGCGCCCCTGCGCCTGGCGTCCTTGGTGGGACAGAAGGGAGCAGGACGGGCTGCGACGGGAGGGTCAGAGCAGCGCTGGGTCTGGTCCCGCCGGGGGGGGGGGGAAATGGAAGCCTCTTGGCTGGCGAGGGGTGGAAACATCTTCAGAGGGACCCACGTTGGCCTTGCGGGAGCTGCCCTCAGGATGGCCGGGAGTGCAGAAGTGATGCTCGGGGGGATGCGCTGCTGTGGGCTTGTGGGGAGACCGAGGCCCCCAAGCATAGGGTGCTCGTCTTCCGATGCCCAGAAGCCACAGTGACTGGGCTGTTGGCCACAGCGAATGAATGGGGTGGAAGGAATCCCAGCCGAGGGTCAGGCCGCCATCATCCCACCACAGAGGCCACGGGGAGACCCAAGGGAGGTGACCCCCAGACCCCTTTGGCTGAGGCAGGGCTCAGGGCTGCGCGGGCGGGCGGGCGGCCCACCTCTCCATCTCGGTGCACCACAGAATGTCTTCCTTCTCGTTCATGAAGACGGGGAAGTGCTGGTCCTTGCCTTGCTTGATGGAGTTGGAGCGCGTGGTGATGGTTCGGACTTTGCTGAACTGCAAGAAGTGAAAAAGCACCAGCCGTTGTAAAAACTCTCCTCCCACCTTCCCCGGGAAGCAGGGTGCGTGTGTGTCAGGTCCTCTTTTCCGGCTAGCTCAAACCCCACCCTGAGCCAGGCTCCCCTCCTTGATGTAGCCTCTCCTGCGAGGACCCCAGGGAGGACAGGCACCTTCCTCTAGGCCAGGCCGCCTGTTCTCAGCCCCCCTCTGCTTCTGGCCATGCATGGGACCCTTCCCAGCCACTGCCCCCAGAAGTAGGTGCCCCCACTGATCCAGAGAAAGGCCGGCCTCCTTGGCCCCCCTCCTCCCACCCCCCCACCCCCGAGCCCACCACTTGCAAGGCTCACCTTGGCTATCCTGCCATGTTCCAGACACTCCTGCAGTTCCAACTTATCATTCACAGTTGAAGCCAGGGGCCTGGAGAGAAAACCAGGGGTCGGTCAGCCAGTCAGGGACCCAGCAACCCCCCCTCCTAGATGGCCATCCACCACTGCTCCCCACCCCACTTTCTCTCTCGGCCTGAGAATGCAGGGAAAAATCCTTCATGCACATTTTCTCCTAATTCTCCAGAATACCCACGGCACATTAAAACAGTGACAAAGAACTTCGTAGCATCGTGGTAACAGTTCCACAAAATGTATTGTAGATAAAAGGACAATGGCCAGATTTCTGTTTTTAAGGCGTGTGGAAGAGGAATCATAGAAGAGGTGTGGGCTGATAGAGGAGACACTGGTGGCCTGCCTGGAAAGCTGACTTGTTTCATTTTTATCCTGCCTTTCCTACGAGACCCATGAACAGTGGCCGCTCCCACCATTCCACTTCTGCGTGAACTGAAGTAAAGCAGTGGGATTCTGGACGGCATATGACTGTTTGTGTTTTGGGGGTGAAGAATTCGATATCCCCCAGTGAATGCACGTAAGAGGAACTGGCAATCCAGTTCATTTTTAATGATTTTGTTTTGCACATTATTTTAAGTATCCAGGGTAATTTGGCTGGGACATTTAGAATAATAAGTTTTAAATTACAAAAATTAATTAATTAAAAGAAAGGCAGGAGAAAGCCATGAAAACTGACCTTTCTCAAGCAAACCCTAAGCCAAACCATATTCGTGCTAGAGGAAGAGGAAATTCTAAACACGGCCAAGCGGACGTTTGTAATGAGATGCTGAAAGGTTGCTAAAGGTTCAGCTGGTGGCTCGGGCACTGGACGGTGCTGCTGACCCACCTGTTCATGCCGGGCAGATTCCCCCAGAAGTACCGGGCTCTGTGAGCGGCGGAGACCTCTTTGGCATCGATCATCACTGGGTTGGACTGGAGGCAGGACAGAGAGCGGCAACGAAAGTCACACAGCCGGAGGGCAACAAGGTTTCTCCCTCTCTGTGCCTGGAGAGCTAAGAGCCCCTTCAGCCCCTCTGAGACCTTCCCCGCCCCCGCACTCATCCCTGCCCCACTCGCTCCAGCCGCAGACCCAGACCTCCCCTCACTTCATGGTGCGGTTTGCCCTCCACGGCACCTACACTTTACCCTACCCTGAACCCAGCGACAAGAACAAGATTAAAGCCACAAAGAGCCGAGAGCTTTTGGAAATAGACACTTAGTAGGTGGACTTTCAGAAAACGACACCTTCGGAAGCATCCTTTCCGTTGAGCAACAAGTCGTAACCCTCTGCATCCACCCATTTGGGTTCCAAATAAATCCCAGGAGCGTCGGGGGGGAGGGGGGTTTCCTGGACCATCCTCCAGCGAAAGGGATGGGGCTCTGCCAGCACGTGGGTGAGCAGAGCAGGAAGCAGGCAGGGCCTGCCTTCTGGCGGGTGGATGGGAAGTGCCCTTGGATTCCGGCCGGCACTGCTCTGCCTCCCACCCTGGCCCTCTCCTAGGGCCACGTTGCCTTCTGCCACGGCCCTTCCCTTGGCATGCAGAAGGTGGCCAGCCCCTTTTCCACCCAGGGCGGGCGGGCTGGCTGGGGGAGGGAGAGCCCTTCACGCCTCACCTCACCTCTAGGAAGCGGGAGATGTCTCGTTTGTCGCTGACACCCATGGCGACCACGTTTTCGAAGAGCCAGAAGAAGGGCCGGTCGTCCCCCTCTTTGGGCCGGGCCTCGTGCAGGAGGCGGTAGAACTCGAAGAAAAGCCGCCCGGTCCCCTCTGGGTGAGAGAAGCAAAGAGGAAAGACAGACCGGGGGGGGGGGGCTTGCAAACTGGACCCCAGGCACGAGTCTTCGCTTTCCTCCTTTGTCCCTCCCCCCCAGGCTACAGAACACTCTGCAGAGACAGTTGGAGAGCCTGGGTGTCTACCTGCTAATTCCTATCCTGAGGCCTAGCCGCTGTGGGGAGGTAGAGGGCCTTCTCCCCTGCGCGGGCCACCTTGCCAAAAGGACACAACCACAGAGGTCAGATTTGCTCCTTTGGCTACCAGCTGAACGGGCCTTCCCAGACACCCTCTTTGCCAGCCACCTGGCCGGGTCCTCAAGAGAGTTTGGTCGAGGACTTTGCCGATCTTGTCTCGATCTTAACACTTCCCGTTTCTTGGGTTTACTTTACTAACTGCTTTGGCAATTTGGGATCTTGACGGAGTAAAATAAAGCAAGGCTCCCCGGTAAAACAGGGCTATCTCACAAATGTGCTTGCTTACACCTGAGGGCATCCTCATTATCTTCATCCTCCAGAGCAACACCACCACCACCAGTAATAATACTGGGAAGCATCTCTGTAGGTGTTTTATCTCCGGGCCCTTCTGCTCGCCCTCAGACGCTCTCTTGTCCCACAGGGTGGTTCAAAGGGCAACTGCAGGCAGGACTCTTTTTCCCACCCCAGGTTGGGGGGCGGGGGGGCACCTACCATAGAGGCCCTTCCTGGCTGGGTTGACGATGGAGAGGTCGTTGCAGGGGCTTCCTCCGATCACCAGGTCAAAGGGCCCCCACTCCTGGATCTGTGTGGTGGTGGAGGAGAGGTGGCGGTTAGGCATACAGAGGCTGAGGTGCTTGCGGGGGGTGGGGGCCTGGCCGCACCCCAGGGACACAAAGGGAGGAGACACTCCCCCCCCACGTACACCCCGCAGCATTCCACGTACGTGTTTCTGGGTGACATTGCGGACGTCCCCAACATACATGATCTTGCCCTGGTGCCGGACCATCCCGACAGTGATGGAATCCTCGCAGACCTCGGAGGCGATGTACCGATCCACCTGGATGCCCAAATCTTTCAGCACCAGCAGGCCTGGCAGCGGGAGGCAGAGGGAGAGGCCCCGTCACCCGCGCGCCCCTTGCAGAACGATGCGGGGTGAGCTGCCCGGAGGGCGCTCCAGCCCCCTTGAGGCAGCACCAAAACCCAGACCACCACCACTGTCGCCGCCTGCCACCAGGGGCTGTGAGGGTCTTTTCAGGGGGAGGGGGCTGGGGGGCTCACCTGTAGCAATGCCATCAAAAAGGGAGAGCACCCGGATGGGCTTCCTCTTTTCCGCAGGGACAGGCGGGTAAACCTTCGGGGGGTCCTGACAACACACACACACAGACACACAGCAGCAGCAGCATGAGGTGGAGTGGATGGGAGTCAAAGAGGGAGGGAAGGAGGGAGGGAGGGAGGGGAAGCGCCCCCCCCTCCGGCTGTGGGCTGCTTGGGAAAGGGGCTCGGCCTCAGGGAGGGCAGCCCCGACGGGAAAGGTCACGGCAGGAGGACTCCCGGAAGCTGACGCGGCGCAGCAGAGCGAGGAGCACCTGGGAGCCAGCCTGCCCTTTCTGCCAGCCTCCTGACTGCCGTCCCCAAGGCCAGATGGTGGGGGACCCACTCTGACCCCGGCCCCCGGCCCCACAAACGGGACTCACAAACTCCTGGTCGTGGTTGTTGGCGAAGAACATCTGGAGGCGGGAGGGCCAGTCTTCCCGGCGCCGGAGCAGCCCGTAGACCCCTTTGTGGCCACACATGTAGCAGTTCCAGGGGTCTTCCTTGATGGCCGCTTGAGCAGCCCCGGGACCCACCAGCAAGTCCACGCACTCCACGCAGAAGCACCTGCAGGGCGTTGAGGGAGAAACGTGGCCAGGGCTGCAGCTGGAGCCAGAAGGCACTGCTTTGGCCTTGGCGGCAGAAGACTGGGAGGGGCCCCGGGCCAGACCCCCTCTGGGACCTGCACCCAGCCTCTGGCGGCCGGTCGGAGCAGCTGCAAAGCCTCCCAGGAAAAGGCCCGAGGGGAAGCCTCAGGGGCAGGGCACGTCCTCCCGTTCCCTGGCGAGGGTGGGTTGCCAAACACACTCGGACGACAGCCGTCCCAAGCATGGGCAGAGAAAAGGGGGCCCTGGGCCCTGCAGGTGGGCCTGCCCTCCTCCCCCCAGGGGCTTCTCCCTTGACCCCAGGGGGGCTACACTCCTCCTTCTCCCTGAAGCCAAGGCAGCGGGTGGGTCTCCTTTCAAAAACGGGCCACCCTCCTAGGCAACAGACAGCCCCGCGGGGCGCCCAGCCCGACCACCTTTGGGCTCACCTGCAGCAGTTGTTGTTGCCGCACATGAGGACTTCTCGCCCCCCACAGCAAATGGTGCAGTAGGACTGGTAGCCGTCATCATCATACTGGTAGGCGCATTCCAAAAAGCAGTTCTGCAAGAGTGGCAGGGCGGGGGCGTGTGAAGGACCTCACTGGCCAGCCCAGCCCAGCCCAGCCCGGGGGGTGGGTGGGCAGTTCTCCCCTCCCTCCCTCCCCTCCTCTTGAGACAAGGAGGACAGCCTATTCCCACCTGCCCAAAATGGAACAGGGAGCCAAGCCCCTTCTGAGGCCACATTATTATGAGCCCAAAGCAGAGGCTGGCCCTCCCTCTCCCTGCTCTGGATCTACGGGTGTCTCTCCAAGCAGCCCCCCCCATTTGCACCCCCCCTGCCCCGATCCCTCCGGCTCTGCCCCCTGCGTGCAACGCTCCGGC